ATTGTATGTACGGTCCGGGGCCCTGAAACTGACGGGGTTGTAACATTATTGCGCTGTCCGAGCCTCGGAGCTTGCCGAGGGTGTCTATTTTGATTTTCCCCTTTTTTTTTTTTGTTGTAGTTCTTCCTTACACTCGTTTGAATCTGTGCCTTCGCCATGTTTAACATTGCGAAGTTTTTGGGCGGTGGCGGTGGCGGCGGCGGACTTTCGGGCCAACTACTACAGGGACTGGCCGGTGTCATTGGGTAAGCTACCTCTTGTAAAACCTGCCTTACTCAGATTGGGGTTTTCAAAAAAAGAAAATGACAACGATTTGAAACCAACCGCTCGCCACTTTTAATATTCATTTACTTTGTGTAAACTTTCAATACTGTCTGCCTGTTCGTCAAACTCCTTCATACACACCATTCAACATTGTTTTGAATGGGTGGGGTTCATCAACTCGCAGAACTCTTTGCCCCCGACCCGTTCAGCACGATTCATCCGATTTGAGAAGCATTTTAGCTCCGTCCATCGGTATAGGATCTGGCCTGGGACCAAAGCTCCCAGTATCCTGTTGGGCTCGACTTGGCCGCGCCCCTGTTTGTAAATATCGCAGTCGTTGAAGGAAGTCGAGCACAAACCGGGCCATTGCATTTGGCAATGCCGATTACAGAGCTCTGGAAACTCAATCTCCTGTCCACTTATATTCTAATTTAAACTCCTGTCACGTCCGAATTACGGAGTCGCGTGGTATAGTGACCATTTAGCTTTACTTCTAATCAATCTGTCCTGATATATAATTGACAGAGCCCAGAGCTTCTGACACTATCATTGCCAGTTACCATTTGGACATAGACCTGAACACACTCGGTCTAATCGGTCAGCCGAAGTTGAACACTTGAGCAAGACATCAGGCATTAAGATGGTTAATTTCGTGGTTTATTTCGGGTTTAAATCCTTGCTGTCCCAAACTACATTGTACTTAGTGGGAGTTTAGGGGAGGGGTTCGTTCAGTGAAGTGCGTTTACAAGAAGGTAGGAAGATTGACCTGTAGACTTGTCATAAAAAGTTTTATGTAACTTCCTTCCAGCTGTCACTATGACTGGCTGAAGTGGTGTGTGCACTAAGAGATCTCTGTTGCATTACAGGGATCTCTGGTATACAGTTTTGGCATCTTTATTTAAAGAAAAATGTAAATGCATTGGAATGATTCAGAAGATCTACCTGGCTAATGCCTGGAATGGTGGGAGAATGGTGATGGGGAGAAGTTGGACAGTCTTGGCTTCTGTACGCTAGAGTTTATGACAATGAGATGGCTTGATTGATTAAGTATAAGACCCTGAGAGGTTTTGATAGGGTGGCTGTGGAGGTGATGGTTCCTCTTGTGGGTGAGTCCAGAACTAGGAGTCTTTGTTTGCTCATTTAAAAAGAGATGAGGCAACATCTTTCCTGATGTCTTTTGGAGCACACTCCCTGAAAAGGCTTGAGGGGAGGGAATGGCCTAACTCCTGCTCATTGTGGTATGTTCATATTCCAGGTAGCTGAGTGGAGACAGTGAGCAGAATTCAACAGATCATTGGCTGGTGTGACCGGATCGCTGCGTGTGATTTGATGCAGATTTACTGCCATAATAAAAAGAGACCTGCATGTATATTAGCATCATTCACAGCTTCAGGCCCCCTAAAGGCAGAGTCTCCCACTCTGAGGGAGACCAATAAGTAACACTTTGAGCATTGGGATGGGCAAGTGGTTTTCTGGCAAGACCAAAAATTATTTTTGGGGGGGTGGGGACGCAGTTTCTATAGAGTCAAGGATGCCCACACAAACATTTTATTCATTCACTGGATGTGGGCATTGTCGGCTAGGCCAGCATTTATTGCCCATCCCTAATTGCCCAGCAGGCAGTTAAAGAGTCAACCACACTGCTGTCAGTCTGGAGTCACATGTAGGCTGGAACAGGTAAGGATAGCAGTTTCCTTCCCTAAAGGACATTATTGACCCAAGTGGGGTTTTCTGACAGTCGACAATGGATTCATGGTCATAATTAGGTTCTTAATTCCAGATTTTTATTGAATTCAAATTCTACCATCTGTTTCAACATCTGCCTCCCTGGCCCCATCAGCATTGCAGATGTTTCCATCCAAGTCCCCTCTACACAACCATCCTCATTATCTCATTGTTTGCAGGATCTCATTGTTTGCAGGATCTCATTGTTTG